CTGAGCAGCACACACAAACACCACTAATTCTCCCCAGAGAGAAGACGGAAGGCAGCACACTGCCACACCAGGCGAGAAGACCGAGGGGAGCCAGAGGCACGTTTAATCTTGCTTGCATGGCGGAGGGAGGGGAATAACGCCGCTCTCAAGTGTTGCACAATTCTTTCTAGCACTGAGCAGCAGAAAACAAAAATTATAGATGCTTCCTCAGAGAAATGTTTCCCAAGAACTACACATAAATTACGTTCAAGAAATAGCATTTGAATGCCTCAAAGCGCTTTTATTTTTAATAATCCCCAAGTAATTCTATAAAACCAGGAATCACAGTCTCACCCAGCTCCAGGATCACGGCCCAGGTGACGTGGGCGCACACATCCTGAAGATCCAATGTTCAACTAAAGTGGGGGGAGTGAAAATGATCCTGGGTATAATTTACACTGACACAGGAAGGTGGCTGAGCCCGAAACCCCTAAACCAGGAAGACTGGCATCCTGCAGAGGCTTCACCTCTGTCCTTTCCCAGCCTCTGGGAACCACCACTCTCCTCTCTACTGCCACAAACGCCGCTCCAAGGTACAACCAGGAAGATCATTCAAAACTGAGGAACGTGGCAGAACAGCGCTGTCAGGAGACTTGAATCACCAACAACGCTGGTTACATGACCCAAAGATGATTAAAACCCCAGGCCCTTCAAGATTGAATGTTATCTATACTTAAATGTATTTAATCACCACATTGGGGGGTTATTCCTTTGTTTTGCTGCAAATATATCCAACGGCTGTAAAAGGAAAAGGCAATTTGTTAAAGAAGCTTCTTGGAGTGTCTCAACGGGCCTCAGAGGCAGGATAAAAGGCAGGAATTCCTGGCAGAAACGCTCAGCCCAGGGCAGGCGGAGTTCTTGAGCACCAACCAAGGCAAAACAAAGTCGAAGACCACACCACACTCTCTTCAATCACGTCCTTCATTCCACGTGTCCTATTTCTCGAGACTTCTCTGGGAGAGAGAATTAAATTGTGCTGAGCCTCTAAAAGAAAATGGAAACACACACCCACAAAGTCCCTGCAGATGCTGAGAATGGGTGCAGCCGTCACAGCCCGAATGTCCTTTCAGGACCATCTGACCTGGCTGCGATCCAAGTATCCAAAGTGCAGGAATGTACGTCGGACCCGTGAAGCCAGGATTACAGCCACTGAAGGGCAGTTTTCCATCCCACCGCAACCGGCCTTGTTAGGGGCTTCCTCGGGGACCACAGACCTCACGCCACCACCCCTCAACTACTTTAACTAACTTACATCATGCCAGAGGCCTCTCCAGGCCGACCAGCCCTGCCCAAGTCCTGCTTCACGGCAAACCCTCCAGGCAAACGTCCTCGGCCTCCTCCAGGAGGCTGTGCTCGGAAGGTGCCCTCACATTTACTTCTGTGGCTCTGAGACATTTAACTAGAGCCCAACACACCACCTCTTCCTGTTCACAGTATTGAGTTAACAGATTTTTATGGTGAACTTTCACTGGGAAGAACACTATTTCAGGAGCCCCAATGACCACAGTGAAAATGCTTTTTACCTCCCCTTACGTGACATCCGCAAGGCCAGGTCCAAGGAATGTTCTGGATCTCAGAGAATGGCATATCCACTCGTAGTAAGTCTTGGTTTTGTTTCACAAGCTATCAAACGCTGCCCCGAAGCAGGAAAAACCCCACAACGTGGCAGGGAGGGGCAACCAGCGTGAGTTCGAAGGCCAGACCTCGCGGGTCTGCTGACAGCGCGGCGAGGGGTAAACAATGCAGGGTCTAAGGTCAGACCACCCGGGTCCCGCTGACAGTGTGGCTTCAGGAGTTTCTTAAACCCTTTGCTCTCCAAGTTTCATGTCAGAAAAATGCGGTGATAACTGTGGCCACCTCGTGGGATGACGGGAACACACACAGTAACAGTGTCAGCAGGTGACTTGCTGGGCACGTGGTGAGGCCACACTGCTGTAGGTTGCCCCACATGAAATCCAATTCGCTTTAAAAAAAAAAAAATACCCCAAACCTACAATCCTATAAAGGTCATTAATCCTAGCTATCCCTCAAGGCATTGAACGAACAATAATGAGCCATCCATCCCCCTGCTGCTGACCTGCCTCAGCCCCACCCTCCGGAAACTGAAATCCCACAGCAGCCACTGCCTCAGCCCCACCCTCCAGAAACCCCGTATCCACACCAGCCACACAGGATGAGGGCAGGAAAGGAGCAGGACTGTGTCTTGGGAACTTAAACTCTGGAAGCTGAGTTAAATCAGTGCCGCTCACATCTTGTCACCAACGATCTTGTTAAATTGGAAGATTCTGTCTGGGGATCTCAAGGGAACCTGAGGCTCTGCACTGAGTGAGGTGAGCACTCGTGCTGGAATGAGACGTCAGGGAAAGCAACCGAATCTGGGGTCGCAGTTGCCCAAGGCTTCGGTCCCACTGGAAAAGTGGCACCAGGGCCCTCGGGACAGTGGCGGAGGTCCCAGGAGGAAGTCCAGGCGCAGAGACTCGTGGACCCAAAGCTTGCTCCAGGGCCAGGAGGGGCTGCTCCGCTGACAGCCACGAGGCAGGCAGCCTTCGAGCTCCTCCAGCTGCCATCCTGCAGGCAGGGAGGACAGTGCCCAGACCACCCCAGGGCTCCCCCAGCCTGCCAGGCTGGTACCCTTACTCCAGCCACTGACAAGAGTCCCCATGTTCCAAGCTAGGTTGAAACAGTGCCCCAGGCCTCAGGGCACATGCACCCCTGCAGGGCCACTCCTACCCAACACCTGGGGATGGTTATTCCCACACATCCCCAACTCACAGCAAAACTTAAAAATGAAAGTCGGAACATATAGCCAGGAAACCAATGCTCAAGAAGCAACTCCAGGGTGACTCTTCCTAGAGCTATTGCTACTGAACATCTTTGAAAACATTTCCAGGGTGACTTCCTAGAGCTATTGCTGCTGAAAATCTTTCAAATTCTTCATTTCAAAATTAGCTTTTATTACACTGTCTCCCTATTCTACCCAGACTCTAGAAAAGAAAACCATTACAAATTCCAATTCTTTCTTATAGCAAGTTAGAAACACACACGTTTCCTCAAAGGATTCTACGTGTTTCCACGTCTTTAGTGGCTGTCTCTTTGTGAAAAAAGTAATGCTGTCTGGAAGCAAAAACCACATTAGAAATGCTTTAAATAAGATTCTTCCTCTTGTCAGGAGAGCAAAGCCACCGCCCTAAGCAGAGGTGAGGGCTCAACAGCTCCCAGGCAAAACCTTAACACACAATGGGGAAGGCAATTCATTTCAAGATAGTTACCAAGGGCCACAACGTGAGACCAGCATAGCCATGAAAACTGCAATCATTTCACAACAGAATGAAATTCATAAAGAACTGCTGAGAGGCATGTGATAAGTTACATAAATCACCGTTCCTTAAATTCTGACGGTTGACTAGAACAGCAGTAGCTTCACGGTACAGTTCAAACAGGAGAAAGGCAGGGAGGGGTGGTTTCCACACCACACAGGGCCTGCAGGAAAGGGACACTCTTCCTGTAAACGGGAGATCCTGGGAGTGATGTGATAAACCACGGTGACAGGCACGGAACTGTGCAAGCCGGAGTCGTGGCCTGGGCCCCACCACGGAGCTTGTGTCCGTGAACGACGAGGCTCGAATGTCAGGCCGGGGGCAACCGAGGCAGTTATCAGGGAACAAGAAAACGAGCGCACGGTGCGAGGCAAAGGTCTGAAACTGCGCAGCAACTTCGAGTCAAGTGGGACAAACTGACTCAAAATACAGGTTCTAAAAACACCACAGCGAGCTGTTCCTGGGCTCTGGAAAGGCTAAGTGACTACTGCCCACACTGAGCATCTGCTCCCAGAGACGACCCTGGTGACAAGAAAGGCCCAGCTCCTCCGAACCCGCGCCGAACCTCAGCAAGGAACTTTGCTGGTATCTTATGGCGTATCGACATGTTCCTTTAAAATCTGGTATTTCATCAACAATGCAGGCGCCAGCTTTGACTCATTTACATTTCAATTAAACAAGATAATTTACACCCTGACCATGCCAGCTAAGAGTTTCCTACAATCTTGAAACAGAGCCAGAGGCTACAGTCTGCTCCTATACAACACTACGTCTCTACAAGTTCGATGGGTTTTTACTTTCCATGTCTTCACTTGCCTAGTGCTAGAAAGCAGATTAAAAACAGAAGAAACTCAGAAACACTATTGAATGAGACTCAAATATCTTGCAGTCATCATCCTGATGCGATGTTCATTCAAGAGAAATGTTCTCACCTGCAGAAAGCAGCACACATCAACACGCACCGGTAACTGTCACCAGCATTCCTGATCATCTTCCCTTCCACGGCCACCTGCAGACCCACGGAAAGCGGGGTGACACGGGCCGATTCTTGTAGCGAGCAGGCCAGGGTGCACTCAAAGTGCATCTCTTTCCAGAGGGCCGCCACAGAAAGTTACACATTTATTCCATGAATGGCGCTGCACCAAACATTTCTGTAAGATTCTCTAAGCAAGCTTTTCCTTCTGCCTAAAATGGCCCGACACAAACTGAAAAAGCTCTTGGAGCTGGCAAAGACTTCAGTATCTCCTTAACTATTGTCATGCGAGCCCGTGTGAAGAGACCACCAAACAGGCTTTGTGTGAGCAACACGGCTGTTTATTTCACCTGGGTGCAGGCGGGCTGAGTCCCAAAAGAGTCAGCGAAGGGAGGTAAGGGTGGGGCCGTTTTATAGGATTTGGATAAGTAAAGGAAAATTAGTCAAAGGGGGGGTTTTTCTCTGGCGGGCAGCAGTGGGGGTCACAAGGTGCTCAGTGGGGGAGCTTTTTGAGGCAGGGTGAGCCACGAAAAGGAATTTCACAAAATAATATCATTGCTTAAGGCAAGGACCAGCCATTTTCACTTCTTTTGTGGTGGAATGTCATCAGTTAAGTCCAGGCAGGGCATTTGCACTTCTTTTGTACTTCTTCAGTTACTTCAAGCCATCTGGGCATATACATGCAAGTCACAGGGGATGCGATGGCTTGGCTTGGGCTCAGAGGCCTGACAACGATAATCTTCACTTCTAAGGTGTGGGGTAAGATCATATAATCCCCAACTCGGCTCCCGATGCTGCGTGTGGCATCCAGCAACAGCACGTTCCATTCCTGGATTACATTTGAGTCAAGAGTCCACAGTGAGAACGATTTCTGGTGAATGAGACACCAGGCAGGAGGGCGATTCCGATGGGCAGCTCTTCACACACAGCCCAGGAGCTGGGGGGAGGGGGAGAGGAAGAGGCCGACGCGCGTCCACCATGCTCACGCCCCCTTCGATGCCCCCCACTCCTAGAGGCCCGGACCCAAGGGAAATCTGACCTGAAAATGGGCAAACCCTCACTTTGGCAGAGGGACAGGGACTCGGGGCCACACCTTGACCTCAGAGCAACACAAGTGCAGACACAGTACCCCCAGGACACCCTCCCCACCCAAATTCAAGGAAGAAAACCATCGCCCCGCCCCTTTGCGGAAACCCCGGCTGCTGGAGCAGATGCCTGCTGCCCGGTGTGTGCAGCCTCTCCCATCCCACGTTCCGGGCTCAGCACCTGTGCCTCAGCCCTGGCACTGCTCACCACACTCACAGGTGTGCCAGGAGGGGCAGGTCCTAAGGTCTCCACTGCACCAAAACCTGCAAGGCGAAGGGGCCGCTCACTCCAGCAGGAGTCCAGAAGCAGTGACTGCAACAGCGTCAGGGCGTGAGAATTCTCCCCTCGGTCTCCGAGTCTCCAGTCTGTTGCCCGCCAGAGTCTTCTGCCAACCGCGAGGCCCAAGCTGAGGGGCACATTTGGTTCTGACCATTTCACTTGTCAAGATCAATACTGCAAACATATCCAATTCATCCTGTCACTAAAAGTGAAATAATCCGCCATCTCCATCACAGATGACGCAGTCAGGTTTCCATTACCGGGGTGTTTTTCTTTTTTTTCTTTTTTTTTTTGAGAGAGTTTGTTCTGTCGCCCCAGGGTGGAGTGCAGTGGCGCGATCTCGGCTCACTGCAACCTCTGCCTCCCGGGTACAAGTGATTCTCCTGCCTCAGCCTCCCAAGTAGCTGGGATTACAGGTCCCCGTCACCGTGCCCGGCTAATTTTCGTATTTTCAGTACAGACGGGGTTTCACCATGTTGGCCAGGCTGGTCTCCAACTCCTGATCTCAGGTGAGCCACCTGCCTCATCCTCTCAAAGTGCTGAAATTACAGGCGTAAGCAACCACGCCCCGCCATTACTGGTGTAATTTCTAAGCCACTCTCTCACACCCACTCCCATTTTTTTTTTTAAACCAGCTTTATGGCTATCTCTTTTCCAAGAGAACCAGTTACCCATTTGAAGTACAAATAAGACACCATATTTAAAAACCAAAAATGCCAATTTGCACAGACGTCTCCAAATACCCAGTCGATTTGAGCCTTGAGAGTATGATTGAAAGGACACAAAGATAGATGTGTACCCGCCCCCCACCCGCTACACCCTTGTTCTGCTCTCTAATCTTTGCACATACCAGAGATTTCATAAGTTCTGTGAGTACCTGGTTTTCTGCACGTACCAGAGATTTTGTAAGTTCTGAGGCAAGGTCACAAGACGTGTTTAAATAAGATAAACTCTTGCTGCCATAAACCTGCTCCCCCGCCTCAAAGTTTGAACCAAAATATCAGAAATGGCGGGAACCAATCATAGTTAGCCAAATCGCCTTGTTCAAACACTAGCCAATCATATATCTGATTTGTATAATAACTCTATGCCCACTTTTCTTAGACTATATAACACTGCTCGGAGCTCAGTGGGGGAGCTCTCCTGCCCGTCTCGTTTCACGAGTGAGGGAGAGTTCCAGGTTCGAACCTGTAATAAAGATCCTTGCTGCTTAGCTTTGACTCTGGACTCTGGTGGTCTTCTTCGGGGAATAAACGGTCTGGGCATAACATGATCAAGCTGTTGGCTGAACACAACTTTCCTATCCATCTGTCTGCCTGTGAGTTAGACAGAAGGACTAAGCCACAAGCTAGGGACATAAAGGCAGCAACCACTAAGGCAGCCGAGACTCCAAATAAAAGCTCGAAGGACCAACATAAAGGGGATATTATTTTGAAGCTTGTCAAAGGAACAGTTGGGAAGATGTTCACATTTTTAGAATTTTCATAGTAATAGTTATAATTTACAAAGAATTTAAAATTGTGTAGTCATTATTTTGCTTTTTTCTAGATGTGCCCCTCAACAGGGTTGCTAGCTATAATTCTACATCACAGGATTCAGAACAGTACCCTTTTGGAGCAGATGCCTGTAATCGAGGAATTCCGCCTAGTCAGTTCACTTTAAGCATGAGACGCCCTCCTCTCCTCCTTCCTTTTCAGAACTTCCAGAGGATGAAACAGGGACCTCCTCAGACGTCCCGCGGTGCAGGCGGCCAAAGGGGAAGGCGGCGGCAGCCTGAATGAGGCGACCGGGAAATCACATTCCACAAACAGAAATTCTCCATGTGCTTTACATGCGCTGTCTCTGAAGAACTGTGTCAGTCTAACAGTCACTGGAAAACTGTATTCAAGTGTCATTTCACATTTCAAGCAAAGAAAACAGTGGTGGGGCATGAGGGAAAAACATAGCCATGTGTTCCGGGGTATTAAATAAGCTTTTCTCTGTTATAAATGTATAATTATACATTCTCAGATTTCTGTATAATTGATATGCTTCCTAATTAGCAGACATAGTAACAAAAAGTGAATTCCAAGTGTAAGATCGGAGGACACGTTCACATGACTTCAGGTTCTGCTACTGGGTTTCAACTTAAGAAACTGGTTCTGTGTACTGGTAACAAGGCATGAGAGTCTGTGTGAGAGTCTGTGTGGCTGTAATCAGGGTTCGTGTTGGCTCCGTAGCAGAGGATATTACACTGTTACACTATCTTCTACAAAAAATCCTGAAAAAATGAAGGCTGAATAGACATACACACACTCCCAAAATAATCCAGATGTCCACCGATATCAAAAAGAGATGAATTACTGTTTCCATCATGGAATATTCCACAGCAGTGAAAACCAACTATAGCCACAGGTGCCAACTAGGATAAAGAAAATCTTTTAAACACGCTTAAAGTGAAGTGACTAGGCGGAATTCCTCGATTACAGGCATCTGCTCCAAAAGGGTACTGTTCTGAATCCTGTGATGTAGAATTATAGCTAGCAACTCTGTTGAGGGGTACATCTAGCAAAAAGCAGAATGATGACTACACAATTTTAAATACTTTGTAAATTATAACTATTACTATGAAAATTCTAAAAATGTGAACATCTTCCCAACTGTTCCTTTGACAAGCTTCAAAATAAATACCTGGCATTGCTCCCCACACCCACAGGTGTGCCAAAATAAATGAAAATATAGCCCAAGATAGTAGAATCGAAACCTGAAGATGTACGAGCTGTCCCTGCCTTGCTATCTATACATCGTGTAGAAATTTAAGAGCAGGTAGTGACACTGCAATGCAAGGCTCAAACCAGCTGGGTATTTGGAAACTTCTGTGCAAATTGACATTTTTGGTTTTTAAACAGGTGTTATTTGTACTTCAAACAGGTAACTGTTTAGTTTTCTTGGAAAAAATACAGCCATAAACCTGGTTTAAAAACAAAAAAATACAGGAGTGGGTATGAGAGAGAGCTGCTTAGAAATTTTACCAGTAGCATCAGGGAGCAGTGGCTCATGCCTGTAAAATCCACAGGGCCTTTGAGGGCACTGGTGTCCTCTGCTGCCTTCCTGCTGGACTGACCCCAAGACATTCACTGGGTTTCCACCCCTGTCTCATTCAACATCCCCCCAAGGGTGGTCTTCATCCTCGTCTGGGGCTCAGCTCTGCCCCAATTTCCTAAATCTCTGCCTTCAGAGCCTGATAACACCCATGCCCAGGGTAACCTTAAGTCCAAGTTTACCCCAGAGAGTCCCGATTTTATCTGTTAACCCAGCATCGCCTTAATGATAATTTATCCTGTAAATTCCAACTGCCTTCACACCTCACCCCTGCTGTCTCACAGCAGACCCCACTCAGATGCACCTGCCCCAGACCCCACAGCCAGGTCTGTGCATGCTGCCCTGCTCCGCCCATGTGGGGACCATCTCTCTTTCTTGAGGAATCAGCTGGCGATCATCTCCTTGTGGAAGGCTGCCCTGACTTCCAACCCTCTCCGGCAAAGGCAGAAGCCGTCCCTCGGTACTTCCCCCAAAACTCAGGCCAAGTATGAAGATGGCGCAGATGCTAACTGTGCATGGGATGCCATGGGCAGGGTCCCCAGATGCTCTGCACATGGCCCGGGACACCGCCTGAACACAGCAAGTGCTGAAGAAATAAAACGGATGTGCGCTGACCTCTGATAGGGCCTCCTTCACCATCCACATCTGTCTCCCCCTCTGGACAGTAAAATCCACAAGACGGGGAGGGCTTGTCTCACTCATCTTCAAACTCCCAGGGTCACCCTGGCACGTAAAGGGGACTCAAATGTCTTCTGAAGGAAGCAGCTGGTTAGCTGCCGAGTTAAAGGGTCTCTGGAATTCAGAGCTCTGCGTAGGAGTCCAGCACACTTTAATATGAATGACTCCAACCACGGCAGAAGTGGCCGTGGAACCAGTGCTAACCAATTCAGGGTTTGTTCACTGTTTCAGTTCATTATCACAACTCACTCTAACAGCAACCGCGCACAGATCCTCAGACATCTACAGAGTGGGACAATAGCGCCAAGTCACGTGAACATCCCGTTGCAGACTGGGAGACACTAGTCAGACAAGGACCCAGGGAGAGCGCAGACCTCGCGTTAAATCGGTTCCGTGTAAACAGCACTCCCTGCCAGGCTCTTTCCTATCTGTACAGCTTCTACAAATTCAACTCTCGCACCTGACACCAAGAATAGTGTATACCCCCATGTGAACGCCCCACTTACCTCCGAAAATGACCCGGCATGGCCCAGTACAAACCATTTCAACATAAGGGAACTGGAGGACATGTGGGGCTTTCTCGAGTCCCTGCTGCCTCCTGATGGGAAGGTCCAATGCTTCACACCCCTAGTGAAGATCGGGTCTCTTCGGCCACCTCAGAATCAAGAAAACCCATGTTCACTTTCTCAAGACCACACACAACCGAGTCACAAAGCAGGGCGGAACCTCGACTCTCTGGGTTCAGGTCATGTCGAGTTTACGACCTGCTGCTGTGAACACTGCAGGAAATGATGAACCTGATTCCGGCTTTGACCTCGAGCTCATCAGCATTAACTAATTTCACTTTCCAGGGGACCAACTTCAAAGGCCTGCAAAGTCAGAGAAGAGAGAGGAGATGGAACACGCCCTCACCCCAGACCTGTTGCAAGCACACACTTCTCAGATGCGTCCCAAGGTGCACAGCGTGTCCAATGCCTGCTCATGTTCACCAACCTATAGGTCTTCTATGTGGCATCAGCCTCCTGGGCACTGCGGACACGAAGTATAATGGCAAGTCCCCTCTGCAGCAAAGCTGAGGCGCAGGGACCCAACAGAATAGAACTGATCTTTTTCTGACAGTCTCAAAACAGAAGAAAATACTGTACAGCCAACCTCCCCTCACACAGGTTTATTTACCTGTGACTCATAGGCCATGACAGACAACTTCAGGTTCTTACCGATTCCTATTCTCCCCATCCAGGAAGCCTTTGTTTTTAATATTGTACGAACTTGCCATTTTATAGGCCAAAAACAGCAACTATTGGCAGTTTGCTACGGTTCAACCGAATAAAATATGATCATGACCTTTTGTGAAACCATGAAGAAAAGGTGGATATCTCAATATGTGTTTCCAGACCGGCTTTGTTCCTGAAGCA